GACTTGTTTAAGATTGTTCCTGGAGCAAAGGTTCCTGTTGATGGGAATGTTATTGATGGTCAAAGTTATGCAAATGAAAGTATGATCACAGGAGAAGCAAAACCAGTTACTAAAAGACCTGGTGATAAGGTATAATTGAGTATTGTAGATTGGTTTTCGTTTGTGCCTTTGTGTCTTGGAAAAACTCAATGATGGACACACCTGCTTGATGTTGTAAACAGGTCATTGGTGGGACTTCAAATGAGAATGGCTGCATCATAGTAAAGGCTACACATGTTGGATCAGAGACTGCCCTTTCGCAGATTGTTCAACTTGTGGAGGCTGCTCAGTTGGCCAGAGCCCCTGTTCAGAAGTTGGCTGACCAAATTTCAAGGTTTTTTGTTCCAACTGTAAGTTCATTGCTTCCATATTGGCCTGTTATTATGTTATGCATTCGAATCTTAAAGTTCTTGAGGAAAATATGCGGGGTCATCTGATCAGAATGTTAAACTTGAAGTCATAAACTAAATCTCATAAGTAAAGTATGTGGGTCCATCTGATCCTTTGTTAGGTGGGTATGAGTGCCCTCTTGGCCTAGCTAGCCTGCCATACTGTCAGGAGACCAGGCTTTTATCTAGGGAGGACTGTACATTATGTTACACTTGTTATATACTATTCAGACTTGGAATTTCAATTTTTTTTTTAAGAAAATTGTTTTCTTATTAATTTTGCATATCAAGTATTTATGGTTATCTTTTCTTTATTCAAAGTGATAATGTTGACCTTGACTATTGATCAAATATAGGTAGTTGCTGCAGCATTTATTACATGGGTTGCATGGTTTGTCACTGGAGTTGCTGGTCTTTATCCAAAACATTGGATCCCAAAAGCCATGGACAAATTTGAACTTGCTCTGCAGTTTGGAATATCTGTTGTTGTGGTTGCATGTCCATGTGCTCTGGGACTGGCGACTCCTACTGCAGTCATGGTTGCTACTGGGAAGGGTGCTTCACTGGGTGTGCTCATCAAGGGGGGAACAGCACTACAGAAGGCACACAAGGTATGCTTGGCTTTCATTGGCTTGATTTTATCATTTGCTCAGGTTATTGCATACAAGACCAGAAGACCTGAGATAAATGTGGTAGGAGGCCTAGATATTCATACTGTGGATCATGACTCTTCCATTCTCTCATGTATCATTTTATTTAGTTATATATTAGTTATACTACGTACGTCAATGTCTTTGCAAATGGTCCTTTCTTGTCTGTTCATCTGTTGGAGCCATTAAGGCTTCCTTGTGGCTGCTGTGCAGAAATTATTCAAAAAGTTCTGGTATAGATGATGGCTAACGTTGATTTATTTTCCATGTATTATTAATTGAGTTATTTTTTTAAGATGATAGAATCAATTCATATTATTGACAATAATGCAATTGAAACTATAGCATTTCTTTTTTTAAACTAAAACTGAAACTATAACATGGAAATGTGAAGTTAAATACTTTATTGAAATTAGATAAATACCAAATGTCCTGCTTTTATCATCCCTTCCTCAAACTGCCCTCTTAAATATGTGCCTCCCTTCAATTGTGTCAATATATTTACTTTGTATGTTTTTGAATTGCAAGCTGAGCTACCCAAATGAGGAGCTGAAGTTTGTCATAACTTTTTGGGCAGCAATAAGAATACATAGACCACCTCATGGAAATTTGGCCTATTTTAATGGGAAACTAGATCTCACTCTCACAGTGGCATGTTTTTTCAGCATTGAAGTACCATGTTGAGGGATTATGCTACCCTGTCTTGATGCTCTTTGCTGTTGCTTCTGTTTTGATTAATTTACTGTAGGTTAAAGCTGTGGTCTTTGACAAGACAGGAACGTTGACTGTAGGAAAGCCAGTTGTTGTCAGTACTATTCTCTTTTCTGGGGTTACAATGAAGGAATTATGCGATATGGCAATTGCTATAGAGGTATGTGCATTTATTTGGTTTGTTTGGCTGAAAGTGAACATAATCTTTCATTTTAATGGCTCATGTATTTAGTGTAATGTTTTAGTTGCCAGTGATTTATTACCTTTTTGATTTGAGAAATGACCATCATTATGATGGAACTTAAATCACTCAGCTGCTCAGCTGCTCTTTCCTCCAACATATTTGCAGGCAAACAGCGAGCACCCCTTAGCTAAAGCTGTGGCTGAACACGCTAAGGTTCAGCGTAAGAAACATGAATCATTGGCTGACCATGTTGAAGATGTAAAGGATTTTGAGGTGCATCCTGGAGCTGGAGTTGGTGGAAAGGTCGGTGAGAGGATAGTTTTGGTAGGAAACAAGAGGCTCCTGCAGGTTCATAATGTTCCAATCAACCATGAAGTTGAGGAGTATATCTCAGGGGCAGAAAAATTGGCTCAAACTTGTGTGTTAGTTGCCATTGATGGCAAGGTTGCAGGGGCTTTCGCTGTGACTGATCCAGTGAAGCCGGAGGCAGGTCACGTCATTAGATATCTCCAGTCTATGGGCATCACAAGCATCATGGTAACTGGTGATAACTGGGGTACTGCAACAGCAATAGGAAGAGAAGTTGGTATTAATCAAGTTTTTGCTGAAACAGATCCAATTGGAAAAGCTGGGAAGATAAAAGAAATTCAGGTTGGATTGCTGATAATAATATGCATGGGATTTTTGTTTTTTCTTTCATTTCTCTTGTTGCCTTGGTGGTGCATTTATACGTCTGTGTGGTACTTTAAATTTTTATTGCTAAGAATAGGGATTGGATGAAAGCATGACCATAAGTATAATATCATTCCTTTGAAAACACAGTTGCTATACCCTGGGTTTTTTTTCTCTACATTCTTTAACCAAATTCTCTTGACTAAGTGACAATAAGATAGGTAATAATATAGTAATAGGCCAAAGCTTGGATGAATTGTAGTAGGAATGAAGTGGCAAATTTTGTTCTTGATTATGACAAGCCAGCATATGGAGATCAGAACCTGATTTTTGTAAGGGACTGTTTCTTTGTGTGTTTGTTTGTGTGTGTCTCTGTGCATGAATGTAATGCTATCAGATATGCCTTGCTGGGGACTGTATCTCGCTTCTTATTTAACCATGTGAAAAAGTGAATCGTGGAAGTTATCCTCCCCCCCCCCCTCCCCGCGGTTGCTTTGTGGAAGTAGTGGTTTATATTTATTTGCTATTTCTGACTATCCAGATGAAAGATCTGACGGTGGCAATGGTGGGAGATAGCATTAATGACTCCCCTGCCCTAGTGGCAGCTGATGTTGGAATGGCAATAGGCGCTGGCACTAATGTTGCTATTGAGGCAGCTGATATAGTTCTCATTAAGAGCAACCTAGAAGATGTTGTGACAGCCATTGACCTTTCTCGGAAGACAATGTCCAAGATTCGGCTTAATTACGTTTGGGCCCTTGGCTATAATGTCCTAGCCATGCCCATTGCTGCAGGAATTTTGTTCCCATTCACTGGTATTCGGCTTCTGCCTTGGGTTGCTGGGGCTTGCATGGCTGCTTCATCCCTTAGTGTGGTCTGTTCTTCTCTGTTGTTGCAGTCTTACAAGAAGCCTTTGAATGTTGAAAGAATTTGATGACTGAAGCTTTATCTTCAATATCTTGGCATAACTGTAGAGGTTCTTATTGCAGAAGTGTAAAGTATGTTCAATTATTATTTCTAACTGTTCTAATTGATTCCTATAATCTCAGATGCTTTACCTGATCTCCTTTCCACTAAGGCATCGTTTCATATAGGTATCAACCATAGATATGGAATGATACTCAGTCCACATATAATAATCCACAGGAACTGGTAGGATGATTTCTGAAGTGGTCTTCTGTCTTAGACATCAATGTTCAGCAGATATGTAACAATCCGTTTGTAAACCCTTTCTTTCACTACATTGCGGCAGTAAATAACCCCAGTTTCTTGGTTTTGTGTTGGATTTGACGTTCACGTGGATTGGGTTTGAGACGTGAACACCACTTCTACTTATCTGTTAACTAAAGCACAGGACAGCAAACAAGAGCACCAGCCACCGGCATCATCATTGGTAGAAAGATGTTAGGTCCATATTCTTGTTTGTACTGATTTTTGCAAACCAATGTACTAAAAAAGCAGACTTTGTGTTATGCATGTAGACTAATTTGATATCCTTATAGTATAAAGAGATCAATGATCCAAAAAAGTTTTTGGGATATTTCTTGATTATGATAACTATATTTAAAAGTTGCCATTTGCTATTGTCAGCGAGAACAAGCAAGTTATTTTTACATCACATTAGCAAGGATGCCGCACAACTACTAAATTGGTAACATTACTAACGTATGGGTCAGGTCATCTCAAAGAATTTACTTGCGAAGAACAATATTCAGGTATTCAACTCTAGTAGATTTGAATGAACATGCAACCTTAATTTAAAAAAACTTAATTTTTAATCACTATTCTCTATTTACTTGTTACCCATTTGACATAAAATATAATTAACTAATTAATAATCCGTTCTTTCTATTAAAAAAAGATGTGGTCATCGCATTCATACAATAATCCCATGGCATTGAATATAAAACTTATCAATAAAGTGCATCTTTCTTTTAGTGGGATCGTATATTAAGAAATACTAATATTTAAGATTGATTCCTTACGAGATGCCCATAAGCGAGAGCAAAATGTGTCAAATTTGTGTTTATTTGAAGCTTAATGTTAGTCAAAATGATGCACACTACTCTCCCACAAAAAAATAAAATAAAATAATGTACACTACTCTGTAAATAAATTAGAAGAAATAACATGATCAAGACCTTATCGGTTACATGTTTTCATTTTTTTGTCATTAATCCAAATAGGGAATACGATTATTTATGTACTAAATTCGTTTTATATTTTTTATAATTTTAGGGTATTATTTGTGATGTATAAAATATTTCAAAGTTGTAAAAAATATGTAGTAGTAACGATAATGAACCATATCATTTCCAAAACGTTAAGGAACCTATCGGTGGGTTACCCCATTTTCTGCCCCGTATTTCAGGTGTTTTTCACTTTGCGTCCCAAAATTGTGGAACATCACTTCTTTCTTTTTGATCGTTTTCTCTCTCCTCTACCCTGAAAATCAGGAAGCTCTTCTGTAAAATGATTAAGGTAACTTAAACCCTAATTAATTTTCCTAAAAGAAGATCAAATTGTGCTCTCAAACTTTGGTAATCTTGTTCTGCACTAGTTTAAAGTTTCCATCTTGGATATAGCCTCTGTTGATTGCTTATAACTTTGATTGACTTCAATTTTCAAATCTTAGAAAATTTTGTACTTTGTTTGTGCTATATTGTTCCTTAATCTTTGAGTTTTTAAACCCTAGGCTGAAATACTGTGTAATCAAGGTGTTATTTTTAGTGGGTTTCTATTAGCTAGTAGCAACTAAATTCATAGGTTGTTGTATGCTTTTTCTGGGGTTCTTCTATTCTTCGATCTTTGCTGAGTGTTGAAGATGGGGTTTGAAATTAGGGAGGAATGGAATTTGTACTGTTTAGCCGAGGCCTTATTTGATTGAGGGAGATTAGTTCTGTAGTTGAGTTGTTGAAGATTAAGGTTTTGGGGTTCATATATTGATGGATAGACCGCGTTTAGGAGGTGGGTTTTTACCCGGAATGGGATCGAATGGTCGATTATTGGATATGGAAATGCCGGGGGATGAGCTCCAACAAGGTCAGATGGGTCATCCATTGATGACCCATCAACCTCTTGAGTTACATCCCATGAACATGATGAGTGGCATTGAGAATGAGCAACCATTAGGGTTTGTAGAGGCGAAAGGGTTGTCGTTGAAGGGTATGTCAATGGATTTTGGTAAGGGGAAGGGGATATCTCTTGGGCGTTCGCTTAGTAATAATACTTCCAGTGAAGATGAGGAGCCAAGTTATACAGGTGATGGGCATGGTGATAACTGTAATGTGGGAAAAGATAAAAAGGAATCTCCTTGGCAACGAATGAAGTGGACTGATAACATTGTTAGGCTTCTAATAGCAGTTGTAGCTTCTGTTGGGGATGAGGGCATGTTTGATGCTAAGGATGGGTTGAAGAGGAAATCTGGAATGTTGCAGAAGAAGGGGAAGTGGAAGATGGTTTCGAAAATTATGATTAGTAGTGGTTGCTGTGTTTCTCCTCAACAATGTGAGGACAAGTTCAATGACTTGAATAAAAGATACAAGAAGTTAAATGACATTCTTGGTAGGGGAACTAGTTGCCAAGTGGTGGAAAATCCGTCTCTAATGGATGCCATGCCGCACTTGACAGAAAAGGCGAAGGATGAGGTCAAAAAGATATTGAGTTCAAAACATCTGTTTTATCGGGAAATGTGTGCTTTCCATAATGGTCAGAGAATACCTGGCTGTCATGATATTGATTTACAAGCTCATATAATGCCTCTGGCTACCCATCCAAATGAAAACAATGTTTCTGAGGTGCATGAAGCCGATGAAAATTATGAATCAGACAGTGATGAGTCGTATGAAGATGATGAAAAGAATGTTGATATCAAATCTGGAAGGATGGAGGGTTATTATGCTAGAAGCAACGTGAATGGAGGAAGCTCTAATTCCTCATTGTTGCCTGGCAGGCAGGACTGTTATAGAGTTGAATTGGAGTCAATGTTTCAAGATGTGGCCAAATCTCCTGCAGAACAAAGATCATTGATTCAGCAACGAATGTGGCAACTTGAGGTGGAGAAGGTCAAGTTGGAGGCTGAGGCACTTGATCTTGAGAAACAGCGGCTTAAATGGTTGAGATTTCGCAGCAAGAAAGACAGAGAGCTTGAGAGATTGAAGTTGGAGAATGAAAGGGTGAAACTAGAGAATGATCGGATGGTCTTGCTGCTTAAGCAGAAGGAAATGGTGTTAGGTATGCCAAAATCAGAATTATCGTTGGATCCCATATCCCTGAGCATTGATAGATTTCAAGGAAGAGATGGAATTAAAGCTGATAGGCATCTGTAGCTGCTAAAGGAAGTAGGTCAGCTTTCTTACTGACATATTATTTGTATACCACTTGACTTTATACAAGCATAGCTTGATCTGAGGTGAAGAATTGTGTGTAATGCTGTTGATTTCGATCTTCCTGAAATTTTACATTTTGTTTTCCAGCCCCCAAAAGTGGAGGAACTACCTTATGCATGTCTGTATCTTGTTTTTTTGCTGAAGTTAATATACTCTGTAGAAATTAGATTCTCATTTACTCTCCTCCCAATGTTATTTGACTAATTACGCTGACACTATGAAAGATCTTGACTTTTCTGCCTTTTCCAAGTAATGCTATTATTTATAAGCAATGAATCTTTGATTGCCAAAACGAACTAATTGAAGAATCATGATTGCAAAGATTACTTGTATGATTTTGCTATTTCTGCTAATCTGATATTTTGTTGCTGAATTGGTCATTGATTTGATTTTTTGATTACTTGCCGCTTAAGCTAAAATTTCTATATCAGGAATTAAACATACAAAATGCAAGCAAAGTAGTCATCCCCGTTATATTAATGCAGACTAACTGTCCGAATTCAGAGTTTGAGTTGCTTCCTCGGCTTCTTGTTAACTTCAAACTTCTTCTGTATTTGCTTCATCTTTCTTGTCCACTTAGCAATGTCTAATTAATTGCATTGTTTATTCACTTTGGAAGTTGCTGTTGGTACAATTAAGTTGAGTGTGCATCATCAAGCGTATTTTCCAAAGAAAATTTTTCACTACCGTGAGTTATTTTTTGTTTTCCCTGTAAAAGAAGATACACTCACCATTATAAGAGGGATTGTGCATTGATGGTCTGGTGGTACTGGTACGCATTGAGGATTTGTGCAGAAATCTTAAAATTTCACATTTATCTTTCCTTAAACGCGCATATATTGAGCTTCTTATGTTAAGGTGGAATAATTTCTGTGGATTTCGTGACATAAGTAATCATGGTTTAGTTGCACGAAATAATTTTGATGATGTGGTACAGCATTGCTTGGTTTCTCTATCCTGTCTCATAACTCTTTCATTGAGTATATATCGTTAATGAACCATTTAATGATTTCATTCTGTCTTCAGTGCGTATTATCTTTGTTTTAATTGGTAAGGGCAGCTTGCATTTTTTACATCTGATATCTTTATGTCCCACGCCTGGAAACACATAGGGAAATAGACTATTACTTGTTCTCTACTGCTATAATTTGCTTTGGGTGATAAGCTGGTGATGTATATACTTTTTGCAAAGCTGACTCATTACTGCCCCCCTTATAATACCATTTTGCTTTAGATGGAATTGAGGTCAGATACCACAAATAGAATGCAAAAGGGCATTTGTTTGACTCCTTCATTGCTGCTACTGTTTCTCAGCATATTCGCTTGGAATTCTGGCTTTCTATTAACATGCAGGGCTTACATTGTTAAAAGTTGTTCTGGTCATGGAGGCTGATTCTGCAAAATGCAAATATTTGCTTTGGTTGATGACGACACTTGATAATCAGCGTCTGCAGGTTGACCGTGTTGCCAAATCAACCTGTCAAAGTCAAACAGGTTGGTCGCACTGTTTGGGATCTTGTAAGTTCTGGTTTGGGTCGAGCATTTTTCTGGTTTTCTAGTACTAGTAGTCATTTTTGGCATGTTTCTGGTTGTTGCAATGAGAAACTCTTGTTTGAAAAGCAACATAAACTTGGGTTTTGTTCGTGTCTGACTTTTGTGAAATATACTTGACCTATACTTCGTAATTTCTATAGTTGAACTGACATTGTAGTCATACAGAGTATTTTTTTAAGACAATTATAGGTGACTTATGTTAAAGGTGTATTGTGATTGTTGTAAAGCTTTAGTTTTTATCTACATCAAACTTATTGCTAGTAAAGCTATTTACTTCGTGGAATTTAACTGAATACCTGAATTTGATTTTTTTCCCGTGCTTTTAATAAATCTTTGATATAGAAACTGTTATTAAATTTGTTTATTTAAGTTAAAAATAGTTACAGAGTTGTATTAACAAAATAAAATAAGTTTGTGGTCAAATTATTTATTTATTTATTTTTGTAAAAGAAAATTGTAGCTAAAAGGAAGCTTCTCTTGTCCAGAAACAAATCTGAAGAAAATTATTTTGCGTAACTTTATTGAAGAGCTATGAAATTATAAACGTGCAGAAAAGTCTGAGCTGTCTTAAGGTGAAATCAATTATGAAAAATTGGAAATCTAGAAACTTAAGCCAGTGAAAGTAGCCAAAATGTTGGACCTCAATTATGCATTGATGAAAATCTGTCTTTGGCAATGTGAACTTATTTTTGGGTTTGTAGAGTGTGAAATAACGATCCTCAACGCGATGGACCTACAGTGAATACTAGTCATAGTTTGAGATTGTTTAAAATGCATGTTCTATAGTATACCATGGTGCTCGGTCTACTCGACAATTTTATATGACTCTCGGGTATCTATAGGTGTAATGTATGGTATGTCGCGAGTAAATAAATACTTCTATATAAACGGTGCATCATAATGTGTCTTGGTTTTGAATCTCGTAGACCTTAATTCTTAACAAAACTAATAAAGTCCAAAATGAAATAATATTGATAATTCCCATGTCATGGGTTGCGTTGGATGGAATAATAAGAAGATGATGATAGCGTAGGTATGATGGAAATTGGAAAGATGAATGCACAATGCACATGTTGCATTCTGCTGGGCAACTTGGCATGCATGGCCCATGCACATGTCACGTTATTCGGAATATTCTACTATTGCGAATATACATTTTGTGGGATATTTTGGTTGTTATCTTTTATATTGTTTCCTAATTCCTAGTTACCTAAGTTAAGGTAATTCTAGGATTAGCATTGTATATATTGGTGTTGATAGATTAATGAAAGCTAAGCCGTAAGTTTATACTAATTCTACATGGTATCAGAGCCTTGTTAATTTTTTTATTTTTTTATTTTTTTTCAGTGATAAACAATGACCGGCGGCGGTGAGACACCACCTCCACCACCACCAAAAATCGAATCTAACTCTCTTTTCTACCTTGGACCGCAAGATCGGCCAAGGGATTACATTACCTCTCAACGTCTCAAATTAGACAATTTCCATGATTGGTCTCATGCCGTGCGAATTGCGATGTGCTCTTGCCGGAAGTTTGGTTTTCTTGACGGTAGTATCACCACCTTCGAGCCACCATGTACGAAGGATGATTGGTTACAATTCATTGTATGTTAGTTTCTTAGCTAATGAACACTATCGATCCCAAGGTAAAATCTATGTTTTCCCATTATGATGATGCTAAGAAACTGTGGGATGATTTACATGAGCGCTTTTGTCTTGTTAATGGCCCTAGAATTCAACAGATTAAGTCTGACATTAATAGATGTGAACAATCGAAAAATATGACAGTTGCAGTGTATTACAATAAATTTTGTCGGGTTTGTGGGATGAACTTGATCGACTAGAACCTTTAATTGCTTGCAAGTCTGGGAAGTGTTCATGTAATGTAAGGAGACAACACGCGGATAGGCGTGATGGGGATCGTCTTCAACAATTTTTGCTCAGCTTATACTCCAAGTATTATGCTCCTCTATGCTCCACCTTGCTCTCTCAAGATCCCTTGCCCTCTCTAAACAGGGCATACCAGCAGGTTTCACAAGACGAGAAGGTTAGGGGTATTTCACGCCTCAAAGAAGATCCTTCTCCCGCCCTCGGTTTCACTGTACAGACTGGTGCAGGGAGGGGACGTGGTGGTGGTTCTGATCGGCACGTGCCGGTGTGTGGGAAGTGTAAGAAGGTGGGTCATGAAACCGTGAAGTGTTGGTCTAACAAAATATGCAATTATTGTAAAAAGCGAGGACATGAAGAAAGTCGTTGCTATGACAAGTATGGTTGGCCGGAAGGTACTGCTGGCAGCCGGGGGGGCAACCTTCGGCTGGTCGTGGTCGTGGTGCTCTGGTGAAGGCCAATGCAGTCACGGGTGGTGGCTCAAGTTCGGATGACTCGGGTACTTTTGCTTCGGGTCGGTTATTTTCAAGTGAATGGTGGAAAGCGATTACGGGATTGATGGGTAATGCTACAATTTGCGATAATCGATTGAATGGTAAGTTTGATGATACCTCTTGGATTATTGACATAGGAGCTACTCATCACGTTACCGAAGAAAAGTCTTGGCTTTTTGCCACAAAAAGCTTTGAGTGTCCGGTTGGATTGCCTAATGGTGAAATAGTGTCGGCTTCTCTTGTTGGCTCTATTCGTTTGTCGGATAAAATCACCCTCACCGGGGTCGTGCTTCATGTTCCTAATATGAGTTGTAACTTACTTTCAGTTTCACAACTTAGTGATGACCTTAATTGTATTGTCCAATTTAACGCTTATATGTGTGCTATACATGACCAAACGAAGGAGCTGATTGGAACGGGAGCTAGGAGGGACGAATTGTATTATTTTAGCAAATCGGATTCGGTGCATCATGTGAGTGTTATTGCTGCAAAGTCTGACTTGGAGTTGTGGCATCGTCGTATGGGTCATCCTTCCGAGAAAGTAGTTAAGTTGCTTCCCACCGCTAGTAGCAAAGCTTGTTTAGATAAAGTATGTGAAGTATGTATGCGTGCTGAGCATCCTAGAGATAGTTTTCCTTTGAGTGACAATAAAGCATCTAGAATTTTTTAAAAATTCATTGTGATTTGTGGGGCCCGTATAGACATGTTTCGTCGTGCGGACCTCGTTATTTTTTGACAATAGTTGATGACTATTCTAGAGATATTTGGATTTATTTGTTGAATGATAAAAACGGAGGTTTTTTATATGTTTTTGATGATTGTTGCTATGGTAGAAAGACAATTCTCTCAAACCATAAAAATTGTGCAAAGTGATAATGGTACGGAGTTTAATTGTTTACGTGATTTTTTTAATACTACTGGTATTATTTTCTAAACCTCTTGTGTGGGTACTCCGCAACAAAACGGGAGGGTTGAGAGGAAACATAAACATATTTTTTTCAATTGGGAGAGCTTTGAGATTCCAAGCCAAATTACCAATTTATTTTTGGGGTGAGTGTGTTCTTGTCGCGGCTCACCTAATTAATCAAACTCCTACTCCGTTGCTAAAAAATAAAACTCCATTTGAAATCCTCTTTAATAAACCCCCTATGTTTATGCCATTCGTACTTTTGGGTGTTTATGTTTTGCACATAATTAGAAAACTAATGGAGATAAGTTTGTGAGTCGGAGTCGAAAGTG